TCGGGGTCGCTCTACAACTGACGCTGGTGTCGAGTTGATTAATCATATATTTGATGCATGGGAAGTCTCACATGATGCTATTGGTGTATTCTGTGAAAAGGTCTTTTGATTGTGTGCACCATGATACACTGGTCAGGAAACTTCGCCATTATGGTGTGGCGGGACATGATCTCGACCTTCTTAAAACGTATTTGCGTGGTAGGGTACAGAGGGTCGATATTAACGGTACGAGATCATCAGGGTCTGCAATTAGCATGGGTGTCCCTCAAGGTTCAATTCTAGGCCCATTTTTGTTTTTAGTTTATATTAATGACTTACCTAGCCTTATGGAGGGTATAAAACATGAGATAGTATTGTTTGCTGAGGATACTTTCTTATTATTTAAAGTTAAAAGACACCAATGTTCCTATGACGATGTGAACAATGCTATATCTAAAGTAGTTGATTGGTTTGCTGTTAATAACCTACTTCTTGATGAGAAAAAAACAAATTGTATGAAATTTACATTACCCAATGTTAGAGAGACGGTTACAAAATTGTAGTTAGAAATGAAAAATTCAATCTTGTGGATACAGTTGTATTTCTAGGTATAACGTTAGATGCTAAATTGCAATGGGGTCCTCATACAAGTAAGTTATCAAAACGGCTCGGTTCTGCAGTGTACGCGATTAAAAGAACAAGGAAACTTTCAGACGTCGAAACCGCTACATTGGTTTACTTCAGCTACTTTCACAGTCTAATGACATACGGCATTTTGCTTTGGGGTAATGCCGCTCTTTCGATAACGATAACGCCGCTTAAATCTTTGTCCTGCAGAAACGTGCAGTTACGGCAATTTACAATCTGGGCCCCAAAGTATCTTTGAGAGATAAGTTTAAGGAAATTAACATTCTTACACTAGCCTCACAGTACATTTATGAAAATTTAATTTATTTTAAAAGGAATAGTAATTTCTTTATGAAAAATAGTGACAGACATAACATTAATACGAGGAATAAAAACAAACTAGCTTTTCTTGATAGTCGTCTTCACAAAGTAAAAAAATCATTTAAGGGGCAATGTATATGCTTCTATAACATGAATCCGGTTGATATACAAAACTTGCCTTTCACGAGGTTTAAAACTATAGTGAAAGAAAAACTTTATACTAAAGGTTATTATACAACTTCTGCGTACTTGGATAACAAAAATCCGTGGTAGTAACCCGTTTAGCTCATGGAGGTAGTCTCGATCTCTGATGTTTCAAATAAAACAAAAAAATATTGTAAGTTATTTACAAAGAGCAACCCCTAGAGTTTCTTGCTCATTCTTCTCAGGGGAATCTGCCTTACGAATGAGCGGTAGAGTTTAATCATTGCGACGATTTCAAGTGTAATAATGCTTACCTATGAAATAAAGATTATTTTGAGTTTGAATTTGAATTTCAATGAATCACATACGACAAGAAATTGATAACAAGAAGATCGTACTCGTGATCTCGCTTGACATAGAGGGCGCCTTCGACAACGCCTGGTGGCCTGCACTCAAACACCAACTCTTATCAGGAAGTGTCCGAAAAATTTATACGCGATGGTCAACTCATACCTCAACGACCGTAATATCGTGGTCAACTATGCCAGAGCAACCAGCGAGAGAAAACCCACATAAGGATGTGTGCAAGGTTCCATTGGTGGCCCCACTTTCTGGAACTTATCCTTGACCTGCTGTTGCAAAAACTCACTTGCGAGGGAGTACACTGCCAAGCGTTCGCGGATGACGGAGTCCTGGTATTCTACGGCCACACGATCAGCACCATGGAAGAATCAGCCTACTCAGTACTGGAGACAGTTTTGAGGTGAGGAAAGAAAAACAAGCTTAACTTCGCCGCACACAAGACCAATGCGATAGGACGACTAACAAAGAAGCTTAAATTCGACCCCCCTGTACTACACATGTCCGGTAACAGGCTGAATCTGGTTAACCAGATTAAACTCCTGGGCCTAATTATCGACCAAAAACTCACCTTCAAACCGCACGTGACCGCCATATGCATGAAAAGCGCGGACATATACAAACAGTTAGCGTGCGCAGCGAGAGTGACATGGGGGCTAAACGTAGAAATAATCAGGACCATATACGTCGCGGTCATAGAGCCGATCATAACGTACGCCTCTTGCGCATGGTCTCAAGCAACGGAGCTCCAAATGGTTCGAGATCAGTTAGACACGCTCCAAAGGAGTTCTGCGCAAAAGATCCGTAAGGCGTACCGCACGGTCTCGCGCACATCGGCACTTGTCCTAAGTCCTCAGTCTGGGTCTCTGTTACTTATAGTACAGATAATGTATCAGTTTCAAAGCAAGCAATTGGTATGGTTATCTGATACATTATTACCCATCCTTAATGAAAATAACAAGAGTGTTATAAGTTAATATTTCACGTATCAATTTGTTGCTTTGTTACTATTACACAGGAATTATTACAAAACACAGTCATGTTTAGTAGAAGTGGAGCTCCTTGTGAAAGAGTTCGTCCAGGGAAGGACTGCCACCTTACCTATTGCTGCCGCCAAGCTGTAATGTGAGTATTGTTCATCCCGTCTCTTGGTATCATAAAAAAGGCACGAAGGACTATACTCAACAGTGGATGAAGTCGGGCTGTCTACAGCCCGTACTTCATACTTTCTTAAACGAGTAGGTCATCATGATCTATCATGATTTAAGAAAGAATACGTTGCAGCAATAATACTGTCGTCGTTAGTTGAAGTTGCTCAAGTGACATATAAAAAAATGTTACGTATAATGCCGTGATCAGTAAAAAAAGGTTGACTTGACACTATTTTTATTTTTTCCTTGATAGATAAGGTATGAAGTTTCCACAGGAGGAAAATCGATATTTTTTTAATTTCATTTCTTTAAACATTATTTTCTCGGCTTAAAATTTTTATTACAAGCGCCCAACTAAAACTAAAACGGCGGCCGAGTACCAAAAGTAATTAACAAGATAAGCTAAGGCTAAGGGAGGAGCACCTTCTTAGATGTAACCACTTGTCATCATCAATAGATCCATTCTCGTTCTTGGATATTCTTTCTGAGGCTGGCCCTTGCAGTCTTTAGTGTCGTTGATCAGACATGTATTTGCCAGTATTGGACGATTTAACGAGGTGGGGTCTGACTAGCTCGATTCCATTGACAAATGTTTAGCATGTTCGATCGAAAGAAAAAAAAAGGTGCTGGTCACCATCGTTTTCACCCCTTTGTTTTGATGGTGTATGTTTTTCTTCTTTTTCTTTCTTTTTGGAAGTCTAATTCTTTCTAAATAAATCCCTCAAAAACCAAGCACATTATCTTTGGTACAGATTCGCAACTGGATAAATTACAGTTTCGACTATATAACGATGCTCATGTAATCCTGATGGGTGAGCTTATTGAGAAGGTTACGGAAGTGCGTAACTTGGGTGTCATCCTGAATCAAAGTCTGAGGTTCGAGAGACATGTATCCAGTTGCGTGCAAAACTGTTTCTACCGCCTCCAGGTTCTGTATAGGATGAGACCATTCTTGAGTCAACACTTACGTGTACAACTAGTAGAAACGATAGTATTGTCCAAGCTAAACTACGATGATATTGTGTTTGGTCCCAGACTCTTGGCGCGTATTAGGAAACTGTTGCAGCGAGTACAAAATGCCTGTGCACGCGTCTGTTTTGACATACCACCAAAAACTCATGTAACACCTTTCATGAACAAACACGCAATGTTGAAGATGAGGTCACGTGAGAAATTGCACTTAGCATGCCTCTTGTTTGACGTAATTAAACACAAATGCCCGTCGTACCTGCATTCTAGGCTAACCTGGGCTAACAGACATCGTCAACGCGATGCTAGACGTGGAGCTCAACAGCTGGCTATTCCCTCGCATAGAACTTCAGCATTTCGTGGAAGTTTTCGCTATGAAGCTTCTAAATGCTGGAATAATATTCCACCGCCGATCAGTCAAACAAAATTAGTTTTAAAAATAAATTTAAAAAGCTTCATGATTCACAATAAAATTGAAATATGAAAATATAAATGTTAATGTAACTGTTATTTAGGTTATTCTATTTAAATTATTATATTTTTATGTTTTTATTCAATGTTTCAAATTTATTTTAATATAATCGTGTTATTGTCGTATTAATTCCAGTATTATAAATCCAAAAGGTGTCATTATTTTAGCAATCCAAAATTTTAGTCAAGCTGATGAGCAGCCAACTTGCCAGGAATTTCCTGACTATATTTTGAATGGCTGTATTAGACACACCTATCCGTCTCTGGACAACCCGGCTTATGTCACATTACACCTATTTTTATCAGTATTTATGTAGTTGTGTAATATCTACATTCTTATTTAATTGTTGTAGTATGTTTACTTATATTGTATTCTTGTAATTATTATGACCCCTAAATTGTTCTCCATTATTCATTATTATAATTTTATCGTATGTTAAAAAAACCGACCACAAAAGTACGTGGAACTACATATAATTACCAAGTTTTATTGAAATCGATTACCGGAAAGTGCACAACCCTGGATTCATCGCCTAGTTCGCCACTATACGGGGCAGGACACAGGAGATAATAAAAATCGGTTTTCACTACTCAAAGTATATTGAGCAAGAGAAACGCCTTAAATTAGAGAATAGCAAAATCAATCATTAAAATAATTGCTTCATATAATAAAATTTAGGCACTATTTATAAAAATGAATCTTCATGCGTGAACAGCCACCCTTAGAGGTGGATGATTTTCTTTAAAATTAAATGGAACCACTGTGGAGGTACCCTCTTTCCAACATAAAAAGAATCATGAAAGTCGGTTCACAAATACCGGAGTTATCGCGTAACATACATACAAAAAAAAGCATAGGTACTGTCGAATTGAGAACCTCCTCCTTTTTTGAAGTCGGTTAAAAAAATGAGCCCATGTGTGAACAAACAAGCATAGATGTGAAATTTCCAAAGAAACGACAC